GGCCTCCAGCCCCTCCCCCTTTCCCTTGCCAGGGACATGAAGGCTGCTAGGTCAGAGACACTGAGGCGATTTAATCTAATCCCATGTCAAAATGGCTGTGTGAGAGAGAGAGGTCTTAAAATCCCTACAGTGGGATGGTCATGCATTTATTTAAGGTGGCAGTAGACAGAAACTATGTAGAAAATAGCGGAATTGGGGTTCCAAGGCATGCAAGTTTATGAAATGACTCCCATTATGGCCTCCCTCTCCTGGGCTTCTAAGGTGTGTGGCTGTCCTCACCAGTTACTCATCCCTGGGAGCTTTGGGTGGGGACCATGTCCTCACCCAGGTGTGGCCAAATGTTCTTCTTCCCTGTCTGGGGTGGAGTACAGAAGATGGAATCTTTCAAAACCAGCTTTATTTGGATGAATCTTGAATGTAGTAATTTTTTTTTTTTTTTTTTTTTTTTTTGAGACGGAGTCTTGCTCTGTCGCCCAGGCTGGAGTGCAGTGGCCGGATCTCAGCTCACTGCAAGCTCCGCCTCCCGGGTTCACGCCATTCTCCTGCCTCAGCCTCCCGAGTAGCTGGGACTACAGGCGCCCACCACCGCACCCGGCTAATTTTTTGTATTTTTTAGTAGAGACGGGGTTTCACCGTGTTAGCCAGGATGGTCTCGATCTCCTGACCTCATGATCCGCCCGTCTCGGCCTCCCAAAGTGCTGGGATTACAGGCTTGAGCCACCATGAATGTAGTAATTTTTAAGTTGCTTTTTTTCTTGGCTGGAAGCTCTTGTTCCAAAACAGCCTCATCACCCTAAGGCTCACCCACCTTAATCACGCAGTCCCTAAAAGGGACACATGTTAAATCTTAGAAGGCAGGTTTCATTCATGGTAGTAGAAAACATTCCAGCACCTGCTGACTGCTGGCCACTCAAAGATGGAGACTTAATCCCTCCCTTAAGGAATCTACAGTCTCCTTGGGGACAAGACATGCAAGCAGTGAGGATGAATGAGGCCACTGCCTCCAAGGAGCCTGTACAGAGAGCCGAGGAGGAGCATGGGAGAAGAGGACCCAAGATGGAGAGGAGAGAGGCTGGGGCTAGCTCTCGGAGGAAGGGGAGGAGCCCCCTCCAGGCAGAAGCCATAGAGGTGTGTGCTTGGAGAACCTCAGTCAAGTAGTTCATCTGGCTGGCGTGTGAAGTGAGTGGGGATTAGTGGATCACCAGGCTTAACCGAACAACAGTGGCTGACATGAAGAGTTTAAATACCTGCAAAGGGGTTTGGACTTGATATCCCGTGAGCCACTAGAAACCACTGAAGAATTGTGAAGAACAGCAAGATCAGGTCAGATATTCAGAAGATCATTCTGATGATGGCAGTATCAACCAATAGATAAGATTTTTGCATTAGAACCTTGCTTCATTTTATTCTGGGGAAAATCTTCCGTGATACTATAAAAACTATTTTACCAACTGGGCATGGGCCCACATCACAGGAAACCCAAACACATCACAGCCAGGGTGAAAGAAATTCAACTTTGACAATTCTTTTAGTTTGTGTTCACACCAGCCCTAACCCAGATGGTTGCTCAGTTAGAAAAGATCTCCCTGCACACTGTAGTCACTGTGTTTGCACAGCAGGGGACTTGTTCCCCAAGCCTGGAGCTTTTGGAACTGAATGGAGCCCAGAGGCAAGAGCAGTGAAATGAAGCTGACCTTTGCTTCTGGTTTTGCTTGCTACTTGCCAGCACGTGGGTTCCCTGGAGGAGTACACAGGTGTCTTGGCTTTGCCACTGGGCATTTTGGGTGATTTCATTAACTTTGCCTGTTTGACCAGAGGAGAGCATGATCATGATACACTGGGAGGAGGCAGGGGACTGATGGGGTTGTACGGTCTTCACATATATATACTCAGGCCCATGCCTTGAATCTAGACGCTGGGGAGAGGGCCCAGCTGCACACTGGTTGAGGCCGGCAGTACATGGCCCTTGAGGCTATGCTGATAGCAACTTGTGGCACACTTTGTACTTCATACTATGAGGAACATGAAATAAGACAGAGCCAGGCCTGATCTTGAAAGAATCCTCTGTCAAGTGGGAAGGCCTGTTGCAGACATGCATCAACTGGCCCAGCCGGCTTATCCATGGCTGTCCCTGGGCCTCCTGAGAATCCAGAGGAGGCTGCTCCAGCATTGATGAGGCTGGGATGGGGCAGGTTCCACAAGGAGGGAAAGCTGACCCCAGTGTAAAGGGAAGGAGTGTGGGATAAGTCTATCTCATGAATAACCTGAGCACAGGCCCAAAAGAGTGTGGCTGATGGATTGGGGGAACTGAGAGTAGTCTGGGGGTGGGGGGCACCTAGAGCACAGGGCACCTGTGAGAGAGTGAGGGAGATGAGACTGGAAAGATGGACCAGGGCAAATCATGAGAGGCCTTGAAGACCATGCTAAATCATTTGAGCTTTATTATAAGCTTTGGAAACCTTTTTAAAACCATGGAATTTAAATGTTTGAGATGAGGAGAGTAACACATTATGGAAAGATAATTTGGCTGGGTGTGGCGGCTCATGCCTGCAATCCTAGCACTTTGGAAAGCTGAGGCAGGAGGATCACTTGAGCTCAGGAGTTCGAGACCAACCTGGGCAACAGTGAGACCTCATCACTATTTAAAAAAATAAAAAAATAATAATGAAGATAATTTGAGTGACTGGGAAGGGGTGAACTGAAAGAGGGACTGATTAAAGACAGTTAAGAGCCATTTGCAAAGGTTTAGTTGAAAGAAATTGAAGCCCACAGTTTTGTAGGCCAAGGCCTGGCCCTTCAGCCTGCTTTCCCCCATGCCCATGTGTACATGGAGGCTGGCCTCTCTCCTCCTCCTTTCAGGCCTGCATTGCAAGTGTGGGGGCGACTGGCCACGTCTTCCATTTGTGTGAGGGCACACCAGAGGAGCCAGGGTTTCTAGTGATCTGTCACCTGAACAGCAAGTCTCACTTCATGAAGTCTCATTGCATCGTCGAATGCTTACCCCTTTTCCCTAAACTGGCAGAACTTGCTCCTAGAAAACAGTTACATACAATTTAACATTGGAAAATAAAATCTTATATTTGATTTTTTGCATTAGAAAATATTTTGACAATCCTTTTTTAAATTAATTTTTATCTTCATCAAAGTACTCTATGATTTAAATGTCAAAAAGAACTAAAAGGGGTCTCTCTGGGTCAGTTTTTCAATAGAGTGGGTGAACCTCAGAGGCCCAGTCAGCAAAGGTCTTTAGGTCTAGATGTTGGGGTTGGTCTAATCAATTAAATTCAAACTTCCCACTCATTCTCATTTTTGGCCTCATCCCTTTCTGCAGTAGCTAGGCCTCTACGTCCTAAGCCCTGTGTGAGCATAGGAGTTGCCCCTTCCACTTCTCTGATAAATCAGAACCATTTCACATTTGCTTTGCATCTTCCAAAAAAATGTTGACATCCCTCATTTATATCCTTTTTTCCTCATTCACTGTAATTGTAGTTTCAGAAGGAAGAGAGATTGATGTATAGATTAGTTACTGCCTTACTTACTGGGAATCCTTTTTTTAAATATATTAAGTTATCAGCTTTCCCTTTTTAGGCTGGACTACCTTTACGGAGGTTACGTGTTTCTTCCTTTAAGCCATCCTTTCTACTCTGAAATAATAGTGATATTAGGGAGTAGATGGGGTCTTTTTTTTTTTTTTAAGTTGACACCAAAATGTGTTTTTGTATTTTACTGGTGTGTGAAATCTAAAACTCAGGAAACAAGTGACCTAGGCTTTAAAAATAAATAAATAAATAAATAAATAAATAAATAAATAAATAAAATAAGCTTGACTATGAAGGAAGGCACATAGATGGAGCAGTGGCCAGAAGACAGGATAGGAGAGGGACAAGTTTTTTCTTTTCAGGCTGAGAGAGACTTGAGCATAGGCAGAAAGAGGGTTGAAAAAGGCAGTGTAGCCAAATAGCAAAGAAAAGTAATGGTGGCCTGTTCTGAGAGGGAGAAGACAGGCCGGGGACATTTCACACCTGACAGGCCTGTGCTTCCTAGATGCGGAGGCAGGCAGGGCCCTCTCACAGCAAGCTGGGGAGGCCCTACCCTAAGGCATGTTTCCACAATTCCTCCAAACTTTTCTTCCTGATAGTCTGTTTTAAAAAAATTAAAATGGCCAGGCTTGGTGGTTTGCGCCTATAATCCCAGCTATTCAGGAGGCCAAGATGGGAGGATCGCTTGAGGCCACGAGTTCAAGACCAGCCTGGGCAACATAGCAAGACTCCATCTCAAAAAAAAAAAATTATATTAGCCAGGCATGGTGGCACATGCCTGTGGTTCCAGCTACTCAGGAGACCGAGGTGAGAGGATCACTTGAATCCAGGAGTTCGAGGCTGCAGTGACCTGTGGTCACGCCACTGTCCTCCAGCCTAGGCTACAGAGCCAGACCCTGTCTCTTTAAAAAATAAAAATAAAAGTTAAAATGGAAAAAAGTTGATTTCATAGAAGTAGAGAGTAGAATAACAGTTACCAGAGTCTGGGGAATGATTGGGGACGGGGGCAGGAGAGGTTGGCCAGCAGGTGCAAAGGAAGAATAAAACTTCTTCTGGTGTTCAGTTACACAGTAGGGTGACTGTAGTGAGTAACAATGAGGTCTATATTTCAAGACAGCTAGATTTTGAATGTTGTCACCACAATGAAAGATAAATCTTTAAAGAGATTAATATGGTAATTATCTCGATTTGATTATTCTACAATGTATACATGTATTGAAACATCACATTGTACCCCATAAACATGAACAGTTATTATATATCAATTATAAATCTTAAAAATTAATGAAAAAAATTTTAATGGGTGGGAAAGAGATGTCTTTGTGCCTGGGCCATGGGTATGTGATCACCTGGGGCTGGTGACCACAATACCTCAAAGGCAAGAGCTGGGTGCCCCCGTTGAGCCAGCATCCGGGAACTTGAGCCTGAGCCCCACTAACGGTCTTCTCTTTGTCTCTCCAGGCCTGGTCCAGATCCCTGTGAGCATGTACCAGACTGTGGTGACCAGCCTCGCCCAGGGCAACGGACCAGTGCAGGTGGCCATGGCCCCTGTGACCACCAGGATATCAGACAGCGCAGTCACCATGGACGGCCAAGCTGTGGAGGTGGTGACATTGGAACAGTGACATACAGCCATATTATGGCATCGTTTTCTAGTCTACTTCAAAATTTTGTACACGTTTGCAGAGGTGCAATCAAATGGAATTAAGTCTCTCGACTTTGGAAGAAAAGTTTTGTTAACCTTTTTTTTTTTAAAAGGAAGAAAGGCAGCGGATTTTGGAATTGCATTTTTTAAAGCACCACTCTTGATTTTCTGGGATTGGTGGAGTAAGAAACTGCGTTGTCAATTTCACTGTCCCAAAAAAGCCAAATTGTGGCAGGACTTCTTTCTGCGGAAATGTGTGTGTATACTTATGTGTGTGTATGTGTGAGTGTGAATATATGTATATGTGTACATATGGACATACACATTTACATATATATAAAGTATATATATACATATATATATATGTATGAAACCCGCATGGAATTATCTGTATGAAATCAAGGTGAGCTGTGGAAACAATAATTCACCCAGTTTAGTGGGTGGTAGGGTACGTGGCCAGACACAGTCACCCAGTTTTTGTTCATACCAGGGTCATGCGTTGAGCTACTGACAAACTCAGGCGGAGGTGACCATGCCCTTCACCAAAGCTGCCTCCCAGTGGCCACACAGAACTCTTCCTGCTGGACTCACCTGAGGGAAGAGGCTCCAGCATGGGGTGGGTCAGAGATGTGTTTGCAAGGTCCAGGGGCTGCGTGGTCTGCCAGCTGAGACGCTCCTCGGGCTGGCCCAGGTGCTGACCTTGCCACAGGCAGATGAATGTCTCGAAAGCTCCCGGGCCTCAGCCTCCCATCTCCTCTCCTTCCCAGGAATCCTTCTTGATCTCATGACTATTAAAATGTTGCTCTGGTTTTAAGGTCAGTCCTGAATTGCTCGTATATATGAACTGAAGGTAACAGAAGTATTAGGGGTTTGAGGAGTGCGTGCGTGTAAGTGTGCTTGTATGTGTGCGTGTATGGAAGGGGGTTGGAGGGGTTGGAAGGGAAAGGAAGGAAAGGAAAATCTTCCTAGACCAGGATACACCTGTGGGAGCAATTTTCTCTAGCTGTCTGTAGCTTCACAGAGGCGGCACTGGAACGAACAGGAAGGGACACCTGGTCTGTGGCCACAGCACCCTGAACGTCCACGATCTTGTGTGATCTTGGAAGCTAAGCTTGGTTAGGCCTGGTCAGTACACGGAAGGAAAGAAGGGACACCTGGCCATAGAAAACGGCTGAGGGTGTTTGCTGTGTTCCTGGATCAGGCCCTGCTTCAGAAGGGACTCCTGGAGGCCCATATTCCTGGATGCAGCCTGGTGGCCCAGGCTGGGAGCAGCTTGCCTCTTCGGAGGTGTTGACTGACTGGGTGTTCTTGATAACCGTTAACTCTGTCTTTCTCAGCTGCAAGCCCTGAGTCTCCCGTGGCTGAATTCACCTGACTTTTCGACAGGTCAAATCTCTGCTCCTTGAGTACAGGAACAGCTCCTCCTCCCTCCTCCCAGCTCTCCCCACGTGTGTGATAGTGTATTTAATGTGTTTTTTTAATGCGACATTAAAAGATTCTCCACGTCTTGCTCAACCTTTGAGAGAAGTTTCAGATTCTTGTATTTGCTTGTTTTATATAAAACTATCTAATGTTCTTTATATGTTCTTTTCTGTACGTAATGGGGGGAGGGAGGGAAATTTACATATAAATAGTCCTAGTTCTACAATGTGTTATTTTTTTAATTATTATTTTTTATCGTCATTGTGAAGTTGTCCAGGGACTTTAAAGTCCATGTTCCTTTGTGGTGAAATAACCTCCAAATAGTTTGAGAAGTTGCCAAGACGAAGAAAAAAGCAAAACCCCAGTAGCAGAGCATGGATTCTGTGTTGTTTCCCATTCTGTCTTTGACTGCCTCATTCAATAAATAGTTCAAAATGTGGCAACGGGAAGTGGAATTGTTCATCTCTATAGGAGCACTTGGCTTCTTAGGCAAAAGGAACTCCATCTTGGGGCAGCTTGTTCTACTTTCTAAAATGTAGTCCTCCTTGAGATCAGTGGTCTCCGACCTGTGCCGCTTCGACGCTGGGGACCTCTGTAAAGAAGACACTGAAGATTGCCCAGCGCCCCCTGCGAGCCTCATCACCAGACCAGCTCTATTTCATACATTTCATGTATAACTTGTTTTCTTACACTGATATTCTGGGAGAAAAATCTAATTTAAAAAATCCTAGGCCAGGCGTGGTGGCTCACACCTGTAATCCCAGCACTTCGTGAGGCCAAGGTGAGTGGATCACTTAAGGTCAGGAGTTCCAGACCAGCCTGGCCAACATAGTGAAACCTTGTCTCTACTAAAAATACAAAAATTAGCTGGGCATGGTGGCAGGCGCCTGTAATCCCGGCTACTCAGGAGGCTGAGGCAGGAGAATCGCTTGAACCCAGGAGGCAGAGGTTGCAGTGAGCCGAGATTGCACCACTGTACTCCAGCCTGGGCAACAGAGCAAGATTCCATCTCAAAAAATAAATAAATAAAATAAGGGTAAGTGATGGTGCCTCTCCACCTTGGGAATTACTATTAAAGTGAATTGTCTTTCTCCAAGCAGAAGCCTCAAGCCATGAATTGTTCCCCCGCATCCTCACTCCCTCGTTTCTCACACGGCTTACTCTCTTAACGTGGCATCTGTCATCTCTCCAGCTGTTCCTCCTGCCCCATCCTTAGGACCTTCCTAGACCCCAGTGGCCTGCACCTCCACCCTTGTGCATACCCTAGCCTCAGCCTGGAATGACCTGCTGCCACCCCCACCACCCCTTTCTTTACATTGTTGGGTGTCTCGGCCGCTTTCCTGGTGATCATGATTAGAATGCTTGGATGGGAAGGCCAAGAAGCCTTTTCCTTGATGTCTGATAATGGTTCGGTGAAGCCAACTGCCTACCTTTCCCCCTTCTTCTTGCACACATGGCATACCCTCGCCTATTTTTCACCAGAGAGAATGGACTAGAAAAAGGATTGAATGCAGCCTAATCAACCACACATCCGTGCTATTGACTACCATGAACTAGCTGGGTTGTCTAGAATACCTGCTGACCAAGGGCCTCTCCAGAGGTGCCTTCTAGCTGCTGTTTGCCTGGCAAGCCTCAGATGCTGCTTTTGCCACAGGCATGTATTGACAACTGGTTTTGGTGGGGCCAATGGAGACCTTCCCTTCCATTCCTGCCTAAGTCACCAACAGGAGCTGCTAACTCCACTGTCTACAGGGACCAGGGAGGTCAAATCAATAAGGGAAGCCGAGGCAATTCCCGTGTGAGAGGAGGGAGTGATGGGGACAGGCAGAGTGGACAGCATCTATCTAAATGGGGCAGCCTGTCCTAGGTGCTGAAGATGGACCCTAATGCCCCATCTTCAAAATTGTCCAGAGAATCTGGGGAATCCAGATTTTTGTATGAAATGTGATTGCAACAAATAATTTACATACTCTGCAGGCAAACTAAAACACATCTGTAGACCAGACCTGACCTGAGGGTCAGCTGCATTTAACTCCGTGAATGCCTGTCATGTGCCAGGTGAATGAAGCATGGTAGCGGCCTGTGAGACACAAGGAGAGAGGAGGAGACCTCTACATAAACCAAGCGCTGCAGTCCAAGGTGATGAGGCACCATCTGGACAGAGTACTAGTGCAGAATGAGCTCTGTTACCACGTTTGAGCCCCTCAAAGGTCCTCTGTTAAGTAGTTTATCATCTAGGCTCCACACAAGGATCTGGTGCCCACAGAAACCAGGAGACTGGTCTAAGATTACTGGCTTTCAGTCTTGCATCTGAGAAGGCCCACTGGTGATACAGGTGACTACTGGCATTATGCGAACTTGAACAAATTAGCTGAGGAGAATCGGAAGGGCAGAGCAGAGGAGGGGTTCCTTGCCCTGGGCCTCACTCAGGCCCAAGCAAGGCTCTCTCCCACTCTCAGTAATGCCTCCGAAGCTTGAGCTCTGGGCATGGCAGAGTCGTACCAGGTTCATGGTATTTCCTTTTGGTGTCAGCACCAAAACTCATCAGGGAGGAAACTGGAGCTTAATTATTTGGAGCAGAAGCAACATGGGGTGAGGGAGTAGAGCCCGTGTTTTCCCTCTCACTCCACCTCAGCGGCTGGCGGCACCTAGGTCATCACAACTGGGGCTTCAGATGCCCCATCCCTGCACTCCCACCCGCTCTCTGCTGTTTACTCCCGGAGGCAGCTCTTGGAGATCACTCCGGATGCTGGCTGGCGGCAGCATGGAGGAAGAGGTACAATAGAGAGGGGAGGCGGGGCTCCGGGACTGGGCTCCCACTGAAATTGCTTTCAGCGTGGGTTTCCTCTTAGTCCCCAAGCCCCTCTGAATTTGAATTTCTCCCTCCTGAAAACCACTGGGCTGCTACCAAACATTTGTTGAGTATTGGTGGCCTGGAGTGTATAGCAGGGAAAGGAGGAAGAAGGGATAGCAGTCATCTGCAGAGGGGTGCCAAGGTCCCCTGAGAACCTAGAGCCTCCTTGGGAGGCAGGAATAGGCCTGGGCCCTGAGCCCTGTCCAGGGCTCAAGCTTTGCTAGCTTGCTTCTGAGAACTACGGTCTGTCTACACAGTGTATGGTAGCAGTGATAACAGTGAACACTTAGCCCTTACAATATGCCTTGTACTGTATTAAAAGATTTACCTATATATTAACTTATTTAACATTTACAAAATACTATTATCCCCGTTTTATAGATGAGCAAACTGAAATTCAGAGAGGTTAAGTTAAACAACTGAGCCCAGTTCACACTGCTGGTAAGAGGCAGAGCAAAGATACAAACTTGGGCGGGCAGGCTGGCTGGTGCCAGAATCTGCCTAGAAAAACATGACTTGATGATATGCTTTTTTTTTTTTTTGAGATGGAGCCTCATTACTCTGTCACCCAGGCTGGAGTGCAGTGGCATGATCTCAGCTCACTGCAACCTCCGCCTCCCAAGTTCAAGCAATTCTCCTGCTTCAGCCTCCTTAGTAGCTAGGATTACAGGCGCCCACCACACCCAGCTAATTTTTTTGTATTTATAATAGAGATGGGGTTTCACCCTGTTGGCCAGGCTGGTCTTGAACTCCTGACCTCAAGTGATCCACCCGCCTCGGCCTCCCAAAGTGCTGGGATTACAGGCGTGAGCCACCGCGCCCGGCCCCGATGAAACACTTTTCTTGTGACCTGGAATGGATGAAAGTGGAGGGTATAAGAGCATCCAGTTATTTTTTAAGTAGCTTCATTAATATTTGGGAAGTTCCCCCAAAATTTAATGCACTTGGCAAATAAAATTGTTAGTGAAATTTGAGTTTACTGGGTCTCAACTGAAACTTCTGAATTTATCTACCCTTTAAGAAACTTAATACACTTTAGGAGGCCAAGGCAGGTGGATCGCTTGAATCCAGAAGTTTGAGACCAGCCTGGGCAACATGGTGAAACCCCATCTCTACAAAAAATATAAAAATCAGCCTGGCCGGGCGCGGTGGCTCAAGCCTGTAATCCCAGCACTTTGGGAGGCCGAGACGGGCGGATCACGAAGTCAGGAGATCGAGACCATCCTGGCTAACCCGGTGAAACCCCGTCTCTACTAAAAATATACAAAAAAAAAAAACTAGCCGGGCGAGGTGGCGGGCGCCTGTAGTCCCAGCTACTCGGGAGGCTGAGGCAGGAGAATGGCGTAAACCCGGGAGGCGGAGCTTGCAGTGAGCTGAGATCCGGCCATTGCACTCCAGCTTGGGCGACAGAGCGAGACTCCATCTCAAAAAAAAAAAAAAAAAAAAAAAAAATCAGCCTGATTTGGTGGTCCCAGCTACTCAGGAGGCTGAGGTGGGAGGTTCATTGGCCCCTAAGAGGTTGAGACTGCCATGATCATGCCACTGCACTCCAGCCTGGGTTACAGTGCAAGACTCTGTCTCCAAAAAATAGTAAGTTACCGCTATCAATTACTAAATGGCTACTAGCATTTTACTGTGCACAACACCTTACACCCTTATTTCTAATCCTCTTCACAATCCGATAAGGAGAGACTCCATTTTATGGGGGTGGAAACTGAGACTCGGCATCTTCCCCAAGAACTAAAACTGGAGGGCTGGAATCAAGTCCTGATGTGTCTGTCTGTTCCAGCTCTGCTCTCTGTGCCAACCACTCAGACGACAAAACTACACATCAGGATTATAAAGTAACCTCCACGTGTGTCCTGAGCTTGCTAGACCTGGAACAGCCTCCCGTGGCTGGACCTTTTTACCACACACACACAACGCGCGCTTACATGCAGCAGGGCCTCAATACATCTCATAGGATGAGTGAACCTAGTTTTCCAGTGGTTGTTTAATCAGAAAATTCAGAGAACCCAAAACATCTATTCCTACACATTTTCATTGCTCAAAAAAGTCTGGCCAGCACAGTGGCTCACGCCTGTAATCCCAGGACTTTGGGAGACCAGGGCAGGAGGATAGCTTTAGGGCCAGGAGTTCAAGACCAGCCTGGGTGACACAGTGACACCAGTCTCTACCAAAAAAAAAAAAAATATATATATATATATATATATAAATTTCTGCAAAAATCCAATGTTAAATAATTTTATGTAAAAATAACATTGATTCTATTCTTAAGAAAAATCTGGTTATGTGATACCCTGCTAGGGGTGAAGGATAGTGAAATGTTGATGCTGAACATATTCTTGGTCACTAACAGTTGCATCGCGTTGTCTTCTTTAAAGACCCCAGGGCCCAATGAAAGTGGGAGAACTCAAAAACCCCTGGGAGATCAGGAAACCAAGCCAAAGCTTGGCCCTCCCATAATGGACTTCAATCTGCAAGGGAAGTTAGTCACTCTACATTTGGGTTATGAAAGTTGAAACCCCGGGCCACATGGCTGGCTCATCCCCCAAATGCACTCTGCTCCCTTTCCTACTCAGCAACTCC